CGGTCCCTGTGGTCTATTCCATGCAAACACTGTTGAAGCAAGAGACAGATCCAGGACCATTGAGGGCACTATCTAGCTGGATATTTTTAAGAAAGGAAAGTGTAGACAGTTGTCTAAACTTCTATTTTCAGGTTACATCATGGACCTTCGAGTGAAACCAGGTGGTCTGTGGGTGGTTCTGGAATGTTGATTGTTCACCTCTGCTTCAGTTTATGGTTCCCTAACACCTACATGGATGCTAGCTAATCATTTTGATTTTCTGAAGTTCTCTACTTATTGGAGAATACTCTTTAGACTTGGCATTTTTCTTTTTTTAAAAATATATTTTTATTAATTTCAGAAATGAAGAGGGATAGATAGAAACATCAATGAGAATCATTGATCAGCTGCCTCCTGCACACCGCACATTGGGGATTGAGCCTGCAACCCAGATATGTGCCCAACCAGGAACTGAACCGTGACTTTCTGGTTCATAGGTCAATGTTCAACCACTGAGCCACGCTGGGCTAGACTTGGCATTTTTCTTCATGAGACCAGTGGAAGTGATTAAAATTGGAAAGATGGCCACAGCTGGCCTGAAGAAAAGCATGAGTGCAAGCACTGTGTATTCATGTGGCAAATTTGGTAAAAGGAGTTTTGATGCAGTCACGGGCTCTAACAAGACGAGCAGCTGTGAAATGGTGCAGTGCTAGAATTCCAGATTGGTAACTCTGAGCAGTAACAGAAGCACCAGCTTGGATGTTGTCACACACACACACATACATTCTGATTCAAACATACCCTCACAAACATACGCTTACACTCATTCACACACACACGCATTCACACATACCCTCACATACTCTTAAACAGCGCCCCTCCCCCCCTCCCCCCACCACACACACACTCTTGCCCATCTTGTTGGCAAATCACTGTATTGCTTGTCCTCTGGAGAGCACTTCGTTTGTTCACTGATACAATAACCTGTAACCTACTTCTTTAGACTTGGCAATTTTCTTCATGAGACCAATAGAAGTGGTTAAAACCACAAAAAAATTCCTGGTGGAGAATATGGTTGAGGAAGAGTGAAAAGGGAAGAAATATAGCCAGGGTGGGGCTTGCTAGTGAGCAAAAAGACATATCATATGAAACAAAGTTTTAATTTTTATTTTACATATTTATACATAAAACTTTCAAGGAACCCTCTGAATCCAACAGAATGTTAATAGCACATCTAAAACTGAACTTCAGGTAGTCAACATTCACAAAATGTTGAAAACTGATTCAAATATACATATTACGGAGAGCTACAACTTCACTACGAGGCAGGCATGTATTTTTGACTTGTATAGCACCGTCATTTACAGTTCTTTAAAACTACAGTGAAGAATGAAAGTAGTCAATGGTCAAATACTGCTTCAACTGAAAATCTCTAAACAAATAAAAATAAAAACTACCCTTTTGGATTTTGTGATGGTGTAAGCACTGTACATTTCTGTAACAATATTTTATTAAAATGCCTGATATTTAGTGGCACAGTAAAAAAAATTAAAATAAATTAAGAAGCAAAGGCCAGGAAACTGCCCTGCTTGAATGCTGTGGCGTGAGGTGGTCGGCTTATCTAGAGAGAGTCCTGGGCTCAGGAGGCGAGAAAAGCGGAGGGAAGGTGAGGCTTCTCTGAAGCTCGTGGGCTCTCGTGTGAAAGAGGAGGAGGAGGCTGGACGTGTTGCCCTTGGCTCCTCCGCCAGCCCGGGAGGAGTGGCGTGGGAGACAGAGGGCACGCTACCACATTCCAGACAAAGATCTGGGAAAGATCCACAAAGCTGCCGGCCCAGGCAACATATGGAAAGTGAAAAATTCTCTTGTTCAGGTGAAGTGGCTTGAATGATAGAGGTAAGAAAAAAAGGACTGCTCTAGGTCTGGCCTGTGCCAATGGCCATCTGGAAATGGTCACTCTTCCTCCTAGCCAACAGAAAATGCTTGTTCACAAAACTGCTGGCCTGGGCAATGTATGGAGAGTGAAAAATTGTCTTGTTCAGGTGAATTGGCTTGAATGATAGAGACAAGAACAGGGCTGCTCTACATATGGCATGCGCCAATGGCCATCTGGAAATGGTCACTCTCCCTCCTAGCAGACAGAAAATGCCTGTTGCACCCCTGTAACAATGAAAACAGAACAGCTCTGATTAAGGCCATACGATGCCAGGAAGAGGACTGGGCAACTATTCTGTTAGACCATGGTGCTGGTCCAAATGCAGTGGGCATCGACGGCAACACTGCTCTCCACTGTGCTGCCACTGGACAAAATACAGCTATAGTAGCACAGCTGCTTTCATACAAGGCAAATATTGAAGAAAGACACGAGGATGACCTCAGACCACTTTCACTTACTCTAAAGGAAAGCAAAGAGCAAATGGTGGGATTTTTATTAAATAGAGGCACAAAAGTCGATCAGATGGAAAGCAATGACCAACTAACTTAGAAATGAAGAAGACCTAAAAAGTGTTCTGAAAGTAGCAATCCTGGTCTACAGGAATCTATCCAAGTATCAGGGAAAACAAATTCAAGGACAGCGAATGAGAGTTCTGGAGACTAAGAAGCAGAACAGGTGAAGTGGCTTGAATGATAGAGAGAAGAAGAACAGGGCTGCTCTACATTTGGCCTGTGCCAATGGCCATCTGGGAATGGCTACTCTCCCTCCTAGCAGACAGAAAATGCCTGTTGCACCCCTGTAACAATGAAAACAGAACAGCTCTGATTAAGGCCATACGATGCCAGGAAGAGGACTGGGCAACTATTCTGTTAGACCATGGTGCTGGTCCAAATGCAGTGGGCATCGACGGCAACACTGCTCTCCACTGTGCTGCCACTGGACAAAATACAGCTATAGTAGCACAGCTGCTTTCATACAAGGCAAATATGGAAGAAAGACACGAGGATGACCTCGGACCACTTTCACTTAAGGAGTCTAAAGGAAAGCAAAGAGCAAATTTCCTTTAGAGTCTAAAGGAAAGCAAAGAGCAAATGGTGGGATTTTTATTAAATAGAGGCACAAAAGTCAATCAGATGGAAAGCAATGACCAACTAACTTAGAATGAAGAAGACCTAAAAAGTCTTCTGAAAGTAGCAATCTTGGTCTACAGGAATCTATCCAAGTATCAAGAAAAACAAATTCAAGGACAGCAAATGAGAGTTCTGGAGACTAAGAAGCAGAACAGGTGAAGTGGCTTGAATGATAGAGATAAGAAGAAAAAGACTGCTCCAGGTCTGGCCTGCGCCAATGGCCATCTGGGAGTGGCCACTCTCCCTCCTAGCCAACAGAAAATGCCTGTTCACAAAACTGCTGGCCTGGGCAACGTATGGAGAGTGAAAAATTGTCTTGTTCAGGTGAAGTGGCTTGAATGATAGAGACAAGAACAGGGCTGCTCTACATCCGGCCTGTGCCAATGGCCATCTGGGAATGGCTACTCTCCTTCCTAGCAGACAGAAAATGCCTGTTGCACCCCTGTAACAATGAAAACAGAACAGCTCTGATTAAGGCCATACGATGCCAGGAAGAGGACTGGGCAACTATTCTGTTAGACCATGGTGCTGGTCCAAATGCAGTGGGCATCGACGGCAACACTGCTCTCCACTGTGCTGCCACTGGACAAAATACAGCTATAGTAGCACAGCTGCTTTCATACAAGGCAAATATTGAAGAAAGACACGAGGATGACCTCGGACCACTTTCACTTACTCTAAAGGAAAGCAAAGAGCAAATGGTGGGATTTTTATTAAATAGAGGCACAAAAGTCGATCAGATGGAAAGCAATGACCAACTAACTTAGAAATGAAGAAGACCTAAAAAGTGTTCTGAAAGTAGCAATCTTGGTCTACAGGAATCTATCCAAGTATCAGGAAAAACAAATTCAAGGACAGCGAATGAGAGTTCTGGAGAGTTCTGGAGAACAGGCTGCACAAAACTCCAGCTTGTGGACGCTGTTTCTGGGCTTTCAGCAAACCTGGAATTAATCAACTCCTGGCCTACATCGGATGATGAAGACTTCAAGATGAAGTGCTCTCTTGTGAAATTGATTTTCCTTCTCTGAATTTTGTGTACCACTTATTCTTCAATTTTAGTAGGGGTCTGCCTATCATTCAATTTTAGTGGAGAGCAGTGTTGCCGTCGATGCCCACTGCATTTGGACCAGCACCATGTTTTTAAGGGAAAACTTGTCTTTTCTATTGTGTGATTCCTTTTATATGAAATTTCCAGAATAAGCGAATCCATAGAGACAGAAATCAGACAAGTGGCTGACAGTGACTGTGGTAGGGGGTATGTGGTTGCCTTTTGGTGTGATGAAATGTTTTGGAACTGGATAGAAGTGATCATCACACAACATTATAAATGTATCAAATGCTACTGGATTTTTCATTTTAAAATAGTTTTTATGTTTGGTGAACTTTACTCACTTAAAAAAAAAAAGAATACTTCCATAACAACAATCAATCAATCCAATGACGATCATGGTACACATTTTAAAATAATCCAATGGGCTCATTCAAAACCTGCCTTCTGGTGAAAGGTTCCATTGCTGGTTTGAGACTTTCTTGTTTCTTGAGGTGGGCCTGTGTTGTTGCTGCTTTCCCTCTTGGGACTGCTTTCCCTGTGTCTTATGGATTTGGGGTTGTGTTCTTATTTTTCTTGTCTTGAGGTATCTTTTTTTAAAAAAATGTTTTTATTGATTTTAGAGAGAGAGGAAGGAGAGGAAGAGAGAAAGAGAGAGAAACATCAATATGAGAGAGAAACATCGATTGGCTGCCTCCTGCACGCCACCTACTGGGGATTGAGCCCACAACCCGGGCATGTGCCCTGACCCGGAATTGAACCGGATGGCACTCAACTAACTGAGCCACACCAGCCAGGGATCAAGGTATCTTTTGATTTCTTCCTTGGTCTCATTGTTAGCCCATTCACTGTTTGGTAGCGTGTTATTTAGCCTCCATGTGTTTATGTGTTTTTCAGGTGTTTTTTTAAAAAATTGATTTCTACTTTCATGCCATTGTGGCTGGGGGTGGGGTGGGAGGTGTGTGGAATGATTTAAATCTTTTTAAGTTCATTTAAGCTTGTTTTGTGGCTTAATATGTGGTCTGTCCTAGAGGGTGTTCCATGTGAGTTGAGGGGAACGTGGGCCCTGCAGTTTTGGGGTGTAATGCTCCGAAAATGTCAATTAAATTCATCTGGTAAAATGTGGGAAAAAAAGAAAGAAAAAGAAGCAAAGGCCAATCACTGGACATGAAGCTTCAGACATTATCAATGACTAACACTGATGTTTGTTCGTTTCTGCGCCACCTTGCGCAACAGCATTTTTACAACCACAGATGGGATGGCTCCTCTTCACTTCGCAGGCATTTTCTCTGCCATGTGCTTTTGCTGACTTTCGGCATGCCTGCAAAATTAATAAATCAACTGGTTAGTGTGAAGGGGGAAGATCCAAGCTGCTTTCCAATCAACAGCTAAAACATCCTCCAAACTGAGGTTCAGTTACTCATGGTGAAATCAAGAAATAGATCTTAATTCAAATGGATTTGCCCTCTTCAGTTTTCTATGCACAAGTCCTTTTATTTAATGAGCCATTGGACTAACCTCAGACCGGTTAAAGTGCTGTGTTTAAAAATGAGGAGAGATAAGTCTCTGGGATCATTTATTCAACAAATGTTCCCTATGTGCCCGGCACGGCTGCTGACGTGAGGGATTTGGTGGTGAGTAGACAACGAGGTCTTTGTTCTCATGGGATGAATATTCCAAAGGAGAGAGACAAGAAAGGAACAAGTAGCAAACAAGGAGTGAGCAGACAGAAAAATAAGTGCTAAGCAGAGAGTCAAAACAAGGGGTAGGGGACAGAAAGTAACTTCGTAACTACTTTATCTGAACACGTGCACACACAGACACACATATTGGCAAGGCTCCTGACAGGAATCGGAAGCCAGCAATCTAACGCCATTCTTACAAAGCTAATGTCTTCCTAGCAAATGGTAGGCTTTTGTTGATGTAAAGAATGTCCATGTTTGTATACTTTTTCCCCCTCAAATAGTCCAAAGGGCATGATCATGGCAGTGAGGGTAGGGGTAGGATGGGGTGAATCTTCTTATTCATCCAGCCCTACTAAGGCCTTTGAGCCCAAAGTGTGGTCCACCCGGCATGTGGTCGGTGGAGACGGTGGGAGGAATGGCTAAGCTGCTTCTATCACTTACATGGGCACTAATTAACCGTCTTCTCAGAGAATGGTGGCATCTGAAGGCTGCAAAAGACACGTGTTTTGAAGAAAGATAAGGATATTAGGAAATTGTAAATTTGGCAAGAGAAAAGCATCTCGGGGTGTGGCTCCCAGCTGTACCCAAAGGATCGGGCAGTTTTGTGTGCTGCCCTCATCTGGGTGGTCAATGACGTCAAGTTTAACTCGCTGTTCTATGCGGAATGTCTCATATCTATGGTACAGAAACCACAAATACGTTCAGAAACAGGGAAGTCACAAAAGAGTCTTTGCCACAGTCAACAGCCCACAAATAATTGGTGATATTCATTTAAGAATAAAGAAACTCAAGAAAAAGATACCCTCTTTCCTTAAAAAAAAATGCTCTTTAACAGACCAACTCATGGCCCTAATTCTATATATAAAAGAATCTTGATCATATTCATAAAGTAGCTCCTGGGCCCCCCTTAACAAATTCAGTTCAAGAAATATTTTGATGCACAGTGAGCTAAGATTCCACTATTGCTAACTGAATTCTAGTTCTTATGGCAGTTTTAAAATATGTATCTATGAGTGCATGTGCACACACACACACACACACACACACATGTATGCACACACAGAGTAAGGGTTTTTTTCTGAGAAAGAAGAAAAGAACAGATAGGATATTGCTTTGGGAAATATTTAAAATTGGGTATTATTTTGAGAGATATATACAAGGTTGATAACAGATATACCATACAACCCAGCAATTCCACTTATGAGTACTTCCCCAAAGAAAATGAGAACACTATCAATGAACACCCATATGTTCACTGCAGCATTATTTACAACAGCCAAGATATGGAAGCAAACTAGGTGTCCATCAATAGATGAATGGATAAGGATGTGGTACACACACCACAGAAATATTATGCAGCAATAAAAAAGAATAAAATCTTGCCATCTGTGACAACATGGATGGATCTAGAGCAGTGATGGCGAACCTATGACATGCGTGTCAGAGGTGACACGCGAACTCATTTTTTGGGTTGATTTTTCTTTGTTAAATGGCATTTAAATATATAAAATAAATATCAAAAATACAAATCTTTGTTTTACTATGGTTGCAAATATCAAAAAATTTCTATATGTGACACGGCACCAGAGTTAAGATAGGGTTTTTCAAAATGCTGACACGCCGAGCTCAAAAGGTTCGCCATCACTGATAGAGGCTATTAAGCTAAGTGAAATAAGCCAGACAGAGAAATACAAATACCATATGGTTTCACTTATATGTAGAATCTAAAAACAAAACAAATAAATAAAACAAAAATAGATTCATAGAAACAGAGACCAAAGAGATGATTACCAAAAGGGATGGGTTAGGTGGATGGGTGAAAAGGGGGAGGGGGATATAGTCAACATTATTGTGATAAGTTTGCACAGTGACAAATGATTACTAGAATTAGTGGAGTGATCACATTGTAAGGTATAAAAATGTCGAATCACTATATTGTACAGAAACTAATATAACCAATACTAGAGGCCTGGTGCACAAAAATTTGTGCACTGGTGGTGGGGGGGTGTCCCTCAGCCCCACTTGTGCCCTCTCACAGTCTGGGATCCCTCAGGAGATAACGACCTGCTGGCTTAGGCCCGCTCCCGGGTGGCAGAGGGCAGGCCCAATCCCTAGGTGCAGCCCCTGGTCGGGCTCAGAGCAGGGCCGATTGGGGAGTTGGGGCGCCGCCCCCTGTCATGCACAGAGCAGGGCAGATCGGGAGGTTGCGATGCCACCCCCAGTCACACTCAGGGTAGGGCCAATTGGGGGGATGGGGCGCCACCCCCTGTCACACTCAAGGCAGGGTCGATGGGGAGGTTGCGGCTCCACCCCCTGTCACGCAGAAAGCAGGGCCGATCAGGGGGTTGGGGCGCTGCCCCCTGTCACACACAGAGTAGGGCCGATAGGGGAGTTGGGACACCATCCCCTGTCACACACAGAGCAGGGCCGATCAGGGGGTTGGGGCACTTCCCCCTGTCACACTCAGGGCAGGGCCGATGGGGAGGTTGCAGCTCCACCCCGTCACAACAGAGCAGGGCCCATGGGGGGGTTGGGGTGCTGCACCCTGTCACACACAGAGCAGGGCCGATCAGGGGGTTGGGGAGCTCCCCCCTGTCACACACAGAGCAGGGCCCATCAGGGGGTTGGGGAGCTCCCCCCTGTCATGCACAGAGCAGGGCAGATAGAGAGGTTGTGGCCCCGCCCCCTGTCACACACAAAGCCGCAGGGCGATCAGGGGGTTTGGGCGCTGCCCCATCACGCTGCTCCAGGGCCCAGGAGGCCTCGCGGCTCCGCTGATCCCAGTGCCGGGAGGCCTTGCGGCTCCACTGATCCTGGGGCGTGAGGCCTCGCGGCTCCGCTGATCCCGGGTTTGGGAGACCTCGCGGCTCCGCTGATCCCGGTGCTGGGAGGCATATTACCCTTTTACTATATAGGATAGAGGCCTGGTGCACGGGTGGGGGCCGGCTGGTTTGCCCTGAAGGGTGTCCTGGATCAGGGTGGGGGTCCTGCTTGGGTGCCTGGCCAGCCTGGGTGAGGGGATGATGGCTGTTTGCAGCTGGTCACACCCCCTTCAGGGTGGGGGTCCCCACTGGGGTGCCTGGCCAGCCTGGATGAGGGGATGATGGCTGTTTGCAGCTGGTCACACCCCCTTCAGGTGGGGGTCCCCACTGGGGTGCCTGGCTAGTCTGGGTGAGGGGCTGAGGGCCGTTTTCAGGCTGGCGGGTGACTGAAGCTCCCAACCTCTCCTTTTTTTCTTTTTTTTTTAATTCTGGGATTTATTTACCTTCTATGGCTGTCACTGGAACTGAGAGCTGGCTTTAGCTCTGAGGCTTGGCTCCAGCTCTGAGACCTCGGCTGCTGAAAGCAGGTATCTGGTTTGTTTGGCTTCTATAATTGAAACAGTGTTGCAACTCCAGCTCGGCTGGCTGGCTGAAAGCATGGGGTTTGTTTAGCTTCTATAATTGCAACATTGTTTCTTAGAGTGCAGCTCAGAGTCCAGCAGCGGCAGGCGGGGAACCTCGGCTTCCTCCTTCACTGGAGCAAGCAAGCCTCCTGTTCGCTTCAGCTGCCTGGCTGCCATCTTGGTTGGCAGTTAATTTGCATATCGCCCTGATTAGCCAATGGGAAGCATGTCGGAGGTACGGTTAATTGCCATGTTTGTCTATTATTAGATAGGATAAGATTGTATAACAACTATGCTTAATAATAAGTTTTAAAAATGGTGTATTTCATTAACATTTCAAACAAAGGAGGGAAAAGAGTTTCAGTCCATACAATTAAAAGGTACTCATCAGTTATTTATAGGAAAGCCCTAAAGGACTCCTTTTTATCAACAATCGTTATTGAGGACCTACTATGTACCTGGCAGTCCTTGTCCTCAGCTATGGGGACGCAGCAATGAATGAGAATGGCACCGTCTCTGCTTTCAGGGGGTTTACAGTCAGGCAGGGACAGACAGCAGACGATGTAGCACGGATGATGAGGCTCCACATGGGAGTGTCCACCAGTCTCGGGGAGCCAGGGAGCACGTCGCCAAAGAGGCTTCATACAAACCAGTGGTCCTCATTCGGCTGTGCACTGAAATCATCTGGGGAGCTCTAAAACCTCCTAATGCCCAGGCCACGCCACATGATAATTAAATCAGGATCGCTGGGGGTCAGACCCAGGCATCCACACTTTATAACGGTCCCTGGGGTTCCAGTGTGCAGCCAAATCTGAAAGCCCCACAGCCAAGCTCTTCGTCGGTTCAGACCTGGCTGCAAAGCTCTGGGACTGCCAAGGTGAGGGACGTTTAAGTACCCTCCTTTTCCCCCATAAGCAAAGTAAAAATCCACCAGTCGGGAATGGACGTAAAAACTTCTCCCTACTGACTCCAATTTAAAGGATGCCTCCAACACCTTTAAATTAGCGACTGCTCTTCTTTTAACCCCCCTGGTTTTGCCTGCCCTGCTTCCCAGGATCACACCATCTGAAAGCAGACACAAAACACCACACTGCAATCCCAATAACTTAACCCTTTGAGAGAAGGGGAGCCTCTCAATGTCCTCCTTGCAACGAGTGAGGTCAATGCTGCTTTGAGGGGCAGAGAAAAGCCTCTGCTCCCACAGGCAGATCATACATTCATCAAAGACTTCACATATTTTTCAAAGATGCAGGTCCCGGGTGTATATTTCAATGGTGGTTCCCCATAATCTTAATACATGCATACAAATTTCGTAGATTGACAAAAAGGGCTGTATCTTATAGCTATTGGTGCAGTGCCTGAATACATCTGTAGATGGCAATAATATTATTGAGTGTTATTGCAATTTGAGTGTTATTTCAGATGCAGGCAAATATGCTAAGAAGGTACGGGAAGGCCTTCTGGTTTTTTGGGTTTTTGTTTTTGTCTTTTTGTTAGGGATGAGGCAGTATAATATTCAAAGCATACAAAACAGCGTGCTGCCCCTGGATAGGTCTTAAAAAAAAAAAAAGCCTAAACAGAGTTCCATGGCATTTATTTTGCCACCCAAACTATCTTTATAACATTTGCATTTAGAAAAATATTTTCCCCAGCATTCCACACCGAGAAGGGGTCCTCAGGAGCAATTTCACCACATAAGTTTTCAAGCTCCTTTAGGATGATGGTGGGTCACGCGGCCAATGCCTGATGGTATTGTGACAAGCAAGTGTTCTTTCTTTCCTTGGAGAGCCTTCTGCTCTCTGAATACCATTTCTGGGATTAATAGTAACCGTTGCCTCCTGGTTTAAAGACTTCAGATAAGCTGTCTATCTATATAAAGGTGCCTAAGTAAATGTGAGATACCAGGAATGCTCGCAGTATTTTGGGTACTTTCTACACTTACGGTGACGAGCTTTTCTACAAGGAAAACTAACAAATGCAAGACGTTGGCCAGCATTAGCCTTGTTTCCTTGTCCCCTGGGGAAGGAGGCACTCTTTACTGCTTCACAGAGAGGCACTTGGAGCCAGGTCCGGCTAGAGACTCAAGTCCCGGAGTCTCCCCCCGGTGAGAGCAATCTGGTGGCACTGGTACTGTGGAAAGATGCCAGTGCCCCTGCCTTCTGGGCATAGCAGATGCGATCAAGAGTCAGGTCACAAACCAGCAAGTGCCATTTTGTGGCACCCACCCCATGGCGGCTCATCCGCTGGAAACTCGCCAGCCTGGAATGGCTTAGAGCCTACTCCCCGGGGCACACAGTCCTCCTGGGCCAGAACCGCTGACCGACCTGGGTGTGCCCTACGACGGTCCAGTGCCCTGGCGCCCAAACACCGGGAGGACGGCTGTGAAAAGCAATGCATTTGGAAAGGAGCAGCTTTGGCCACTTCCCCTCCATCTAAACAGGGATTAGGTGAGGAACCCATGGGAGGAAGGGAGGGAGTTCTCCAGAGCTCTTAAACTTCAGACCTTCTCTAGAAAGGGCGAAAGATCACCAACCTGGTCAAGTCTTCAATGTCCACCAGCATGGCGTCCTGTTCCGTGTGCAGCTCATCTCGGATGAGCAGCAGCTGGACCAGCTCTTCATTCAAGCCTGAGGCAGAGAGAAGAGAGCACTTAAAAACAGGCAGGACTGTATCCAAGTAAGACTGCATCCAGGTCAGAATGGGTAACGATTTCTGGGCACATGTATCACAGATCTATCTATCTATCTATCTATCTATCTATCTATCTATCTACCTATCTCTCATCTATTTATATCATTTCTGTTAAAATTTAGAATTTTTGTATGAGCTTCTCATAAGCTCAGGGGAAGCCGTCAATTTGAGAACATGACTAATCTGCATAATTATAAGAGTGTTGGAAGGAAAGGAGTAAAGTACAAAGGATTTCCAAATACATTAACATTAGAGTGCGAAAAATTGTTCACTATTCACTATTAGGGAAATAGCTTGTTAGAAAAAGTGGCGTTTTGTTTGAAAAACAAAAACAAAAATGTCTGGGGTTTATTAAGTTTTCCACTGCACCTGCCACACTGAGAGTCGGAGGGGCCGCTGGGCCTGACTCAGGTGCCTCAGGGATGCTCCGGGCTTCCCGCAGCCCAGGAAGGAGCAGCCCTGTGTGCAGGTTGCTCTGGGGAAAGCATTAGCTCAAGCGATCGGAAAGCCAGGGTGTAAGGCCTGAGGAAATCAGCCCCGAAGTCTCTGGACAACAGGTGCCAAGGGAAATATTCCTCAGGGCTTATGCTGGGGAAAAAATGCACGGACACATTTCTCATCTTCCTGAAATCAGTGCACGGGTCAATCTGGCTTCTGCCTCTGAAGGGGATGAACAAGCAAGGGCTCTCTCTTGCGTTTTCCCTTCAGTTCAGCTAAGAATCAAAGCATGTGAGTCTGGACACATGGACACAAGGGGAGAACACCCATTTAGAGAGAGCTCTGGGCCCGGAAACCAAAGAAAGGAAGTGGGTACTCAGCCAGGTCCCCCTGGGAAGTGCTTTTAGAGATCCTGACTTCAAATGATGCATTTGTCTGCCTTTAGTTCAGACTAGTTTCCAATTTTAAAAAGAAAGGGAGAGAAAGAACCATACAAAGAGGCCTGAAACATCATCAGCCCCTGAAAAGGACGAGATGGCAATTTATTAGTATGTAAAAATCCAAGGAAGATGCTTCAGTAGTAAAATATCACTTGACAGAGTAACCTCCCAGTAATTTACTCAACTAAATTAAAATGTAGAATTTTTAGAAATCCACTGAATCTATGGTTTCTTAAAATGTTAAACTCGTTCTCTCAATTTTATTTTATTTTTGATTAAAAATATTTTTACGATTAAAAATTTCTTATGTTGACATTATTGCTGACTCCCCCATCACCCCCTTTGCCCACCCTCACTTCCCTCAGGCTCCCCCTCCTCCCTTAGCCTCCCCCTCCTCCCTTAGCCTCCCTCTCCCTTGGCCTTCACCACACTATTGTCCCTGTCCATGGGGCATACATATATGTTCTTTAGCTAATCCCTTCGCCTGCTTTATCCAATCATACCACCGCCCTCCCCTCTGGCTCCTGCCAGCCTGTGCCATGTATCTATTATCTATGCCTCCAGTTCCATTTGTTCATTAGATTCCACACATTAGTGAGATCAATGGTATTTGTCTTTCTCTGACTGGCTTATTTTGCAGATGAAAGAATTCTTTATCTCTTCTTGATTTTAAAACAATACTGAATATATTAACTTGACACTGAAGATGTCCAATTCTAATTTTTCCAATGTGTTCTTGGGGTAGGCTTTTATGCTAGTACCCAGTACAGTGCCTGCATTGTGCATAGGAATTTCTTCCCCATATGAAGTTTTTAACTTTTTATTATGGGAAATTCCAAACTGATACAAAAGCAAAGAGCATAGTTTAAGAATGCCCCATGCATCCATCTAGCTTCAACTAGCCAATCTTGACGCAGCTCTCTCCCTTTCTCCTAGTGGACTATTTTAAAGCAAATTCCAGACATCATATTATTTCATCTGTTGGTGCTTCAGTATATATTTCTAAAGATGGGGCTCTTTTTAAAAAAATTACCATAACCACAATATCTTCATCGTATCTGAATAAATAAATCTTTAATAAAACATTTAGTCAGTGTTCAATTTCCCCACTTAGCTCCTAAAAATGCTTTTTATAGTTAGTTTGTCTGAATGCATTTGGTTGGCATATCTCTTAGGTGGCTTTATCTGTAAGTGCCACCATATGTTCCAGAGGATTTGTGAGCCCATCTGGCCTAACCACTCTGCCCAGGTGGGCATGCTCTCTCCTTCATCGGGCCAAGCAACGGACCTTCTCTGCACCTCTAATTAGTGCGAGCGAGCACCACTCACTTACTACCCCTCCCCACTGCAGTTATTCTGGGGGAAACAGGCCCACATATCATCACCCTGTAATTTTCACATACTGGTCCTATCTACTCTTACCACCTGGAGGAGTACCACAAATAAGTCGACTTTGATTTGATGACCCAAAATGAATGTACGTACCAGTAAAGTTGAGGATATCATTGTATAACAAATGACCTGTAAGTACTAAATTGTATTCTAGAAACAGGTGTTGCAAGCCAGATGCTTGCCAAGTGCTTGCTATTTAAAATAAATAATCAGGACCTAACCTTGAAAAATTCTTAAAGTTTCTGAATATTTCTAAGGAAAGAGAGAGAGAGAGAGAGAGAGAGAGAGAGAGAGAGAGAGAGAACTTGCAGGCACACAACCAGGAGGAGCCCAATGAAATGCTGTACAAAGGGTCTAAATTGAGGAAGTGGTGCTGTCCCATTGCATTTCCCACTTATTATTCCATTTTCAAGCACACCTGACACTTACTTTCTATCTGAGAATGGAGATCATTGACTATCACTTGTAGCTGCCCAATAGTCATGTCCCTCAGGTCAGCGGGCTTTAAACTCCTCTTCATCAAGCATTCGCTTATATGAGGCATGTGTGGCAGCTGCGGAGACAGAGGGAAGGGATGGACGTATGAACAGAGCAGCAAGTACATTGAACCCAAGACCCAGTTTCCCCCATAAAGACCGCCCCTCTCATCCACCCACTTTCAAGTTCTGGGCTTAAAAGCTTTCCCAGTCTAACTTTCTCAACGCGAGGCCCTACAGACTACAATGTCTGGAACACTATCAGCATCAAAATGCTATCCTACTCAAACCAAAAGCTTTCAGACTGGCTCTTACACAGGCTGTGACAACCATGAGTCCATTATTCTATACATAAATGAATTACTGGGGAGCTCAAATAATATCGATGACATGGATGAAATTAATAATATCAGCTATGTATTAATTCATAGCACGCCACAAGCACTGTGCTATGTGCTCTGACACGGGTGTTATTGTTTATACCCATTTTATAGATGAGAAAGCTGAGAGTTATGTAACCTGACCAGAGCCCCACAGTAGGGCAGTAGCAGAGATAGATTTAAACTCCAAAGTGCCAGGCTCTTATCCACTATGCTACACTGTCTTTGTTGGAAGGTGGGACTGAGAGCATAGCAGTAGTGAGTCTGCCACAACCAATAGGTTCTTAAACTGAAATTGCTTTAAAGGAATTTAAATAGTCCCATGACAGCTAACATTGTCCCCAACAAAGTAGACCTGAATCAAGAACAAAGTTTACTTTTGTGAAATCTGCTGCTTATGTATCTTTCAGTGATGCAGCAGAAAGGAAAAGGAAACAAACATTTCTCAATGACAGTATTTCTTACAAACTGCCTTGGAGAAACCCAAGTTTGCATAACTCGGGCAAAGGAGCGGGACAGTGCCAACCCTTTGCAGCCACCAGGCACTCGCTTGCGTTTCAGTGTCTGCTACTTACTAGGTCAGCGACGGGAGACTTTTTCCTGTTCTGTTTTTCCACTTCTACTTGCATTTTGGCCATGGGTTTGGCCATGGCAAGGGCCATTTTGGCTTCAGCTTGCAATTTCTTTTGCCTGGTGAGGAAATCCATATCATCTAGGGATTCAGATTCCTCTTCAGTAGTGTCTCTATCGGAATAGGAAGAGCTCTGTTTGCTCTGCGAAGGGAAAAAGAGCAGCCCTGAGCTTTGCATGCCAGGTAGCATCTGGGGAGAGGGGCCAGAGCATCCCTGAGCCCTCCTGAGACTCCCCTCCATCCACTCAGCTCGCTGCACAATGTGATCTGTACCAGTCTCAACTAAAAAGGTAGTTTATTGCCTCAGTGTCAATACCAGACTGTGATTTTTAGCATAAAAAGTAGCAAAATCCTATCTAATAAAAGAGTAATATGCAAATTAACCGTCACACCCTCACTCCATCACTCTGTCACAAAGATGGCGGCGGCCACAGAGCTGGACCCAGCAGGAGGCTTGGTTGCCCCGGCGATGGAGGAAGCCAAGCTTCCCGCCTGCCCTGGGTGGTCCTGAGCTCTGCAAACAGCCATCAGCCCCTCACCCAGGCTGGCCAGGCACCGCAGTGGGGACCCCCACCCTGAAGGGGTGTGACCAATTGCAAATAGCCATCAGCCCCTCACCCAGGCTGGCCAGGCACCCAAGCGGGACCCCCCACCCCCCACCCTGAAGGGGCTGTGGCCAGCCTGCAAACAGACATCAGCCCCTCACCCAGGCTGGCCAGGCACCCCAGTGGGGACCCCCACCCTGAAGGGGGTGTGACCAACTGCAAATAGCCATCAGCCCCTCTCCCAGGCTGGCCAGGCACCCCAGCGGGACACCCTGATCTGGGACACTCTTCAGGGCAAACCAGCCGGCCCCCACCCGTGCACCAGGCCTCTATCCTATATAATAAAAGGGTAATATGCAAATTGACCCTACCAGCAGAACGACTGGGAATGACTGGTCATTATGACACACACTGACCACCAGGGGGCAGACACTCAATGCAGGAGATGCCCCCTGGTGGTCAGTGCACTCCCACAGGGGGAGCTCTGCTCAGCCACAAGCCAGGCTGATGGCTGCCAGCACAGTGGTGGTGGCGGGAGCCTCTCCCGTCTCCTCAGCAGTGCTAAGGATGTCCGACTGCAACTTAGGCCTTCTCCCTGCTGGCAAGTGGACATCCCCTGAGGGCTCCCGGGCTGCCAGAGGGATGTCTGCCTGCCAGCTTAGGCTCAATCCCCCGGGGAGCGGGCCTAAGCCAGCAGGTGGACATCCTCCGAGGGGTCCCAGACTGCGAGAGGGCACAGGCCGGGCTGAGGGACCTCCCCCCCCCCCCCAAGTGCACAAATTTTTGTGCACTGGGCCTCTAGTAAATAAATAATAGGAGAAACAGATTTATGACACACTTGAGACATTTCTTTGATTTGGTCTCAAAAGACACAACAACGTATTTAACCCAGAGCTAAGGCAGCGTGTTGCTCTCTGGAGTGGACAGGACCTCAGGTACCCAGTGACCAACATGGGTTCCTTGGTAAGAAAACACGATTGGTTGGTGAGAAAAGAGATGCGCAGACCTCACTGAGTGGTAAGAATTCCAGCAACAGGCTCCCATGATCAGAAGGCAGTCTGTTATAGCATGTGGGCAAGGAATGAGTAAGAAATACTATACGCATTTCATCCTGTTGGTTTCTCTGAACATCACCTCTGTGCATGAGCTTTCCCCTGAGCCCTGCCGCCCATCCTTTTAAAACGTGTCCTACTGCTGGTCTGTGCTCATACATTTCTACACCCAGTGGGGAAGGATTGGTGTGTAGCATATGGTCCTTAAAAATTTTTTAGGACGCGTGCAATTTCTCTTATGGTCTAATATGAAAGTAGTTGCTAACTTTAACAGAGCTTATGTAGCACTGCTGTGTCACAGGTTTGGGTTTCCAATCATTGTCACATCTTAGGAGCACGCCACGTCAGGAAATGCAAAGAGGCTGCATGGCCAGCAACGCATACACACTGAGCGTCAGCGGCAGCTTTGACTCACCATGGGCGACAAGGGGGTGTCCAGGCTGGTTTCCGTCTTGCTGTCATCCGCATCGCTGTCCTTGTCACTGCCGCTGTCGTTGACAAAGCAGATCTGCAGGTTCATCCCACTCTGCAGGCTGGGCAGAAGCAGACAGGACACCAATCCACTCAGCTATTTGCGATCTGGGCGCACCCAATAGAACTGTCTGGTTTTGCTAATAAAAAGCAGTTTTATGTATTCTTCACATGGAGAAGTAGGTGACCAATATGACTCCTAATTCATCAGCAGTAACAAACCAGAGGATACTAATGATCACTTGATAACTTGGCAAGTGATAACATCACAACTTTTACTAATGTTGTATTACTTTTTCCACACTCATTTCCCATTAGGTGAAAAATAGTTTAGGCCACATATTTTGCCCCCAGCACAATGCCAAACACACAGTTGGTGCCCAATAAAAATGTGTGAGTCAATGAGTTTATATTCCTGTCGACGAAGACGATGGGGGTTCTTGGCCAAATGAAGCCGCATGGTGTCGTCTAGTGTCCCGTCCCCTGGGGACAGTCCAAGGACGCTCTCCGAGCCAGCACCCAGCACCCCGGCCACAGTTCTCTGAAGACTCCTTTCTCCCTCAAACAGACAGAATAGGGTCAACTGAAGGAAAGTTTTAGTTAAGGCAGTTGCCAAAAGCCAACCAAGGGAGCTCACTTCTGTCATTAAGAAAAACACATACCGCAGTTCCCCCTAGAGGTCAATGGGGGAAAAGGAGGACCTATGTAATGCTTTCAGCAATAAAGATCTAAAAAACAAAAATCCTCCATAACGGTTCACCCTAGAGCAGTGGTTCTCAACCTTCCTGATGCCGCGACCCTTTAATACAGTTCCTCATGTTGTGGTGACCCCCATCCATAAAATTATTTTCATTGCTACTTCCTAACTGCAATTTTGCTACTGTTATGAATCGTAATGTAAATATCTGATATGCAGGATGTATTTTCATTGTTACAAATTGAACATAATTAAAGCATAGTGATTAATCACAAAAACAATATGTAATTATATATGTGTTTTCTGATGGTCTTAGGTGACCCCTGTGAAAGGTTCGTTCGACCCCCAAAGGGGTCTCGACCCACAGGTTGAGAACCGCTGCCCTAGAGGAATGCAAGGAAACCCCCAACCCAGGCAGAAGCACAGCGACCCAGTGGGCTCCGCAGCCGCCTGCCTTGTGCACTCAGTGCCGCAGGGGGCGCTTTTGGGAGCTCCTGAGGCTCCAGGCGTGATGGTGCTGGAGGTGGGGTCACAGAGGGTCACCAGCTGTGTCTCTGCTGTCCACCAGGCCAGACAGGGAATCCAGTTCTTTGTCCTAACCTTTCTCGAAGTGGAACACATTTCACTGCTGTCTGGCGATGGGGAGTTTTTAAAGAAGTAATTTTCTTAGCATCCCTAGTAGCCAGGTCTGTGTGTAAGAGAAGAGAAAGAAAAGGCAAATGGGGGCCCCTGGGTTGCCAGGATCGCGGGCTTGTCTAAACCAGCATCACTGCTTCACAGGGACAAGGCAAAGAAACACTGGCCTGATGGTGGACATTTGTATTTGATTTTTAAAAAATTCCAATGGGTAGGGATGCTTAGTACAAACTGCTCAGATGACTCTATAAAGCGCTTCTTTGAAAATGATACAGGATCCAGAAAAAGAAATCTACTGGTTTAACTCGGCACCACCCTTGTTGTGTGTATATACTGCCACCTATTGTTCGCTTTCATCATTAGTGAAAGTCCCAGCTTATTTCCCCAGTAGGCGGGGTCTGTTCCCTCCCTGACCTCATGTGCTGCAAGGAGAGCCAGGCCCAGGGCTGGGCACAGGAGCCGGCAGGTGCTGTGTGATCAGCTCAGGGCGCTTGGGTTCTGTTGGACTTGGGTTCTGATTCCTCACTTCTATGCCTAGGCAGATTACTCTATGACCCTCGGTTTCCTCATCTGTAAAATGGGGTGAATAAGTCAGTGTTTTGTAGGAAGAATGAAAAGAGTTAGCTGAGAGCCCGGCACAAGGCATGTGCTCTGTGCATGTTAACTACCCTCCTTTCTGTTCTGTCTGAAAGCCCAGAGGAACACAGAATTTTAAAAGTGGGGTGACTTTGCAAAGGGCCCTCTAAAGTCTCGTACTGCAACACCTTGCCTGGTCACAGCAATTCCCTTATGTACACTCAGCTCTGTTAGGGCCTGGAAGTTGTCTCCTTTAACTTTCTTCTAGAAACTTTTTTTCTGGAGAAATCTGATATGTATAGGTTACCCTTAGATCCCATATAAATTAAGTTTTAAAATTTATTGTCTGTAGTTGGTAAAAAAAAAAAAAAACACACCCAAATATCAACCCATTTTTAATAATAAAACCCAAGACGTATGGATTGGAAGATAATGGGAAATAAAACTGCAAATTAAAAACAAACATTTAAAAATAAAAAGGCATTTTAAATTAACCTAATTTGAATCTAAGATTAGGTAACACTTTCTATTTATTGAATGGCTAAAGTTTTGAAAAGAAGCAGCTGGCCACGGGATACACAGATTATAAAAACATAAAACAACCCAGGATACAATTACAAAATAATATTGAAAACATCTAAAGATATATATTCTGAAGAAAGTTGATTGTAAATTCTATTGTTCTGTCCCAAACTGAACTTTGTGCTAGGATCAACTCAGTCCTAAATCAACCATCTCACACCGCATTTTTCTAACTCAAGAAAGGCAAGGGGAAAGGGGGAGGGGGAGGGGAAAGGATTTAGCAGTCAGAGCAAAATGAAAAAGCACCTCAGGTAGAAATTCAGAAAATCGCCTTAGTACCACATTATCTCCGTGGGAAACCGAACAGAGCTTCTTACAGGGTGAGACTTATAATTCCTCATAGCGGTAATCACCAAGAATGTTCCTCTCAGGAAAAGGAAATTATGTGACATAACAGCTAATGGTTCAGAGGGGATTTTTGTAAAGATGTCTTAAAACGGACTCAAGTTTCAAAAAGGATTTGTTTGCCTTTAGCCTTTAAGCAGGTTTTAAGATGAAGGTGGTTTGGGGGAAATTCACCCACAGTCCCAAGCAGCGGCCTGGCTGTGGGTGAGCAGGGCCACCCGGTGCTGCTGAAGGCCTCTGTGTCCAGGGTCAAGTTCGATAACCCCTGTCCTGGCCCCTGCTGGCCTGGTCTCCATCCCTCACACTGCAGGGCATCCATCCAGCCTCACTCACAACCAGGCTACACAGTCTTCAAAATCCAAGCTGCGAGGGGTCTAACCTGTCATTCTCTCAAGCACAGTCTGCGGTGGAAACAAAACACACCGCTAATCCTGTTAATTAGGGATATAATTTAAGGCAGGGGTCCTCAAACTACGGCCCGCAGGCCACATGCAAATACAAATATTGTATTTGTTCCCGTTTTGTTTTTTTACTTCAAAATAAGATATGTGCAGTGTGCATAGGAATTTGTTCATAGTTGTTTTTTTTTAAACTATAGTCCGGCCCTCCAATGGTCTGAGGGACAGTGAACTGGCCCCCTGTTTAAAAAGTTTGAGGACCCCTGATTTAAGGTATCCACACCAAGGCTGCTTGATGTTTCGAGTGGCATTTGGCAAAGCATTGCCTGCAAGGGCTGCCTGACTTCTGCCTTGCCTGTGGATTTTCCTCCTGAAGGGTCTGCATCCTGGTTCTCCCAGAAACCTCTTCTCCTTATGCACCACGAGGCAACGGAAAGCCACACTGCTGACCAGAGCTGCTGACAGGGAGCCGAGAGCATCTGGGGAGAGGGTGTTCTGGACGGGGAATGCTCTCAAAGACGAAGAGATAAAGACTGTGCGCAGAAGTGGCTTTCCGAGCCACTGCCTATTGGCCGGGAGCGCGGAGGCATTTATTTAGTGGAGAGGATGTTCAGCACCCACGTCTGCTTGGCATTTCCAGAGAGGAAGATGGCTACTTGGAAAACGCTTGTGCTGACTTCCAACCACTGCTACCAGGGATATTACAAAAATATGCACAAAACTGAGAGGATGGTAGAGATGAGAAGAGAATGCTTCAAAAACTTAGCCAGTGGTCACTGGAATAAAGACGACACTTTTTTTTTCAAAATGCAAGGAAAAGACCGGTTTATTTCCTGTGACAAACAATGCAATGGTCCTAAAGTTTGCTGAATGGTGAGTCGGGCCTTAGTTCCTGGCCTCGGGTGTGGTGACTGGGACCGGGCGCCTGCAGCCAGCTCTGAACCCCAGAACTATTTGGTGCTCTCTGATTTTAGAAATCGGAATCTCCCAGGACCAGCATGGCCACCAGCATTTTCATATATTTAAAATTTGTTGGCTTTACCCCCTACACCACCCCTTTGTTAACTGGACAACCAACCACCTGTGGATTGCAGGCAAGGTAACACCTACTCAGAGAAGTCAAACTACCTGCCCCGGAACCGTGACAGCCTGATCATAAACATGGTCCCCATTCCTCCCCTCTGTAATAGGACTCTGCGGCTCCTTCCAGGCCGGCCTCCTGACTTGTGTTGGCCCGCAGAATGCAGAGGAAGGGACTTTGTCCCGGCTCCAAGCCTGCCTTCTCAGGGGACCCTGCCCCACGTCCAGGCTAGCCTGCTGGTAGATGAGTGACTTTACAGCACAGAGTTCAATCAGCAGCTGTCGCAACTGAGCCTGGGGACACATGACAGAGCTCAGCTAAGAGCAGTAGAGGCACCTCACCAACCCACAGTCTCCGCAGACATACGAGCTGCTCAGCTGACCTCTACAGGCTCCCAAGCCGAAACCAATGCTTACTGTTGTAAGCCACTGATGTGGGTGGTTTATTACACACCATCACTGTGGCAACAGATAACTGGTACAAGGTCACAAAGCAAGAGACTACAGGCTGGACCTCTGGTTTTGGAATCCAATGTCCTTTCCTCCATACTACACTTGACCTTAGGTTTGGATTTATTAGATCCTGACTGTGATGGCCATATAATTTTAAAGGGCGGATACCTCCTGTAGTTGCTAATACTTTCAAGGCAATTGTACAGTTTCCTTAAGAACAGAGTGAGAGGGGACTTCCCATGTGCCTATGGATCTCAAACATGCCTTGCTCATTATCTGTCCACAACCAGAGTGA